GTATACTGTCATAAAATACAACGATAAGTTCACTCGAAATAAATAGCTGTAAATTATTTGCACGATGCACAAATATCAATCGATGAACAAATCACGAAATTACAACCACAAAGAAGGAGAGGGAGCATTGCGTGACGACCGACACTAAAACAGATGCGAGGGAGACTATTTAAACAGTGAATTTATATACATTTAAAGATAAATCGCATTCAAAACTATTTGCACCTTTTTGACGTAATACATTAAATCTCAAAAATACTGAAAGTTTGTCAACCTGTTCACTTCCCAAAACCTGCTGGCCGCAAAATATTATTTTAATTTCTGTAAGAACTACCTTTTATCTCTGCAGTACTCAAATATTATAGTGTCACGAAGGGGAAGTGGGGGAGTAATACTTTCCCAACGGACACAAAGATTCGGGTTGTTCTTCGGTTGCTTCCTTCTGCTTTATTTTCTGTTGTTTGTAGTACTTTACAATGAACTCATCTGAACTCTGGTTATGGCTCTTGACTAGCTGCTACTTCGTTGTACTCTGTGCTATCAGCTCTCACTCTTGCTCTCAACTGCCACTGAACTGAACTCTAAGTGAGCTCGTATTTAAGGGCTAAGCTTACGCAATACCCCACATAACTGGTTTGTACTAGGTCAAACTAGATTAGACCAGTTAGGTCAAGTATGACGTAAGAGCTTGAGACAGGTGTTGACTTTAGGAAAAAGTACGAGCACTCAGTTCTAAGAGCTGACCCTGAAAATCTGTCGATGGTGTTCTCTAACTTAACTAGTATAGAGCAGATTGCACTAAAGATGTTCTAAAGTCATAAGTATAAGATCATTCTGAAAAAGTGAACAGAAAAAGGCTTAGGAAGTAGTTGTTTGTACAGCAAACAACCCTGCTCTTTTCCAGTACGGATGTACAAAGTTGTACATGATCAAAACCCGTTTTCACTGGAAAAGTACAGTAGATTTGCAGCTGTTGTTTACTACAAAAAGTACTTCCCAATTAGAAGTGTAAGGCCATGTCAATGAATAAACATCCTTGACCCTGGAGTATAATAGACAAGTCATTGTGAATGACTTTCCATTGGTCAATGACAGATTGTCTATTGACATGTCATTAAAATAAAGAGATTTCCTTACATTTCTTATTTACACAAGGCTTAACAAAGAAGTTTCTTTTTCTAGATTATTTTTCCCTTAGTAATATTTTTCCCTTAATATTATTTTTCCCTTTACAATAGTCCTACTAAGTCTAACTTTTGAGTTTGTTTTTTTTTTTCCTAAGCCATATTTTAGCCAACTGGCCAAAGTCGATTATCTATGGTCGGTAAAATTGAAATATCTAGATATAAATAAGTTCATATTTAACTCTAAGGCTATTCATGTTTGCATAAGATATATGTCTACTACAATATGGAAGGATTTAGTGTTGTGATGATTTGTTATGGATTTACGAATTTTTAAACATCGCCCAAATTTCATGAATGAGAAGTAGTCAAAATCACTAATTTGGCCCCCTAGGGGACCCCCCCCTGAAACTTTGCAAAAAAAGCTTCGAGACACAAAACAAAATGTGTTTTGGAAATAACCTTGGAAGGGCACACTCACACACAAAGTTTGAAAGAAATCTGTTTTTTCACCCAAAATGGTTATGAGCGAGGTTCTTACAGAGACAATCTCTTATTATGGAAGAGAGCAAAACAACTGTCATCTCACGTTACCCGATTTAAGGGAGAGGGATGGTGTTACCCCTTACCCACCGCCTCTGGAAGTGAAATCTTAGATTTTGTCTCCAAATATCTCCAAAACTAAAAGCCAAATCACAGAAATGAATGGACCGTCTGTCTGCATGTATGCTAAAAAACACATTTGTGTATAGAAATTGCCACTACAGACCCCCAGTATCGAGCATTTGAAGAGGTCTCTGAGGGGGGAGGGGGTATGTACCGTTACCCACCACATTAATTCATAAAATCGGGTCCCTATTTTGGATTATTATTTTGACCTCGTCCCTTAGTTCAACAAATTCTGATCTTTCCGTCCTGAGACTCCTAAGAGCGTATTGTATCGATCATAGGGGCTCTAAAACGTGTTCGCCCATTTATTTCGACCGATAGTGCCATCCAAATATACCGGCGAAGCCTTAATTCTACCCAAACTGGCATGACTATTGTAGTGCAGTTTGGGATGTATTAAGTGATAACAAGTTCATATTCTCTTGGTGATAAACTATGCATTCAACTCCAAAAGCTTCAAAATCGAGCGGCTAGAGTTATCACAAGATCTAACTATGACATAAGATCTAGCCATCTCCTTGACCAATTAAACTGGGATAAACTTGCAGTTCGTCGTAAAGAACAAAAAGTTCTACTAATGTTTAAGACGATGCAGGGACGTACACCAGTTTACTTACAAAACCTTTTCTCCGACTACCATACTAAATACAACCTTCGAAATCATGATCATAAACTGTCAATACCTAAGCCACACACTGAATATCTAAAACGACCATTCAGCTATAGTGGAGCAAAGTTGTGGAATGACCTACCATTAAATATAAAAGGGGTCAAATCAGTACGAAAATTTAAAAAGGAAATTGATAGTTTGTACAGTAAGAAAGGTTGTAACTAAGGGCTCCACGGCAAACATGTAAAACAGTAACTAGCTTTTTAAT